TTTTTTTTTTTTTTTTTTTTTTTGGTACCGGGGATTGAACTCAGATCCTTGTGCTTGCAAGGCAGGCCACCAAACCACTGAGTTAAATCCCTGGCCCCAAAGCAGACATTTTTAATTTTAATTTTAATGAAATCAATTCATTCTTTCAGGGACCACACCTAAAAAGTCACAGCCAAAGCTAAAGTCATCTAGATGTTCTTCCTTACCTTCTAGCTTTAAGTTTTCTAGTTTTGTTGGACCTTTAGTTCAGTGACCCATTCTGAGTTCATTGGTAAGGGCTGTGAGGTCTGTGTGAAGATTCTTTACCCACGGCTGTTCAGTGTTCCTATACCATTTGTTGGAAAAAAAAAAAACTATCTTTTCTTCACCGTGTTACATTCATTTATTTTTATTGCTGAATAATGTTCTACCATATACCTTGCCAGTTTGCTTATCTATTTACTGATTAAAGGACATTTTGGTAGTTTCCCTGTTTCGATAAAGCTGCTGTCAATATCTGTGTATAGGTTTTGCATGAACCTAAGTATTACACTTATTTAGAATTCTCACTCCATTTAAAAATCAATAAACGTGACATTATTATTTTCCCAAACTATATCTTTTAGTTTCATTCCTTCCTTCAATAATGTATTCATTTATTTATTCACTAGCACAGTTTGAGCTGTAGCCCTGGGGTAGGGTCTGGGGATGGGGGTCTCAGCCTGTGGGAGCTCACCGTTAAGAGAGGAAGGCTCATGGGACAGATGCCAGACAGAAGCCATAGACAGGGCCTGTGGTCCCACCTGAGCAGTTGGGGGACTTCAAGGGGACATTACAACAGGAAAGCGTGGCTTCTGCTTTTCAAGTAGGTGAATATCTTAGTCAGAAGTCGCACCAAACATTTGTGAGTATTCACAGTTGGTGAGACCTTAGCCTCCTGGTCATACCATATTCCTGACAGGGCCTGGAAAATACAGGCTTTATCTGCAATGCCTGTGTGTCCTCAAAACTCAGGTCTGTTTCTATGGCGGGGGTTAACTATGCGGTTTCTGACACAGAGATATATAAGAGACTATGAATCCATTCCAGACCAGTAGCTCCATGCCTACAATGTAACTTGGCTGAATCTTGGTTTATTTAACCGACCTTCTGATAGTACATAGAAGACAAGAGTGAAATGGGATCACCGGGTCAGAGTCATCCGGGTTCTCAGGGCTCTTGTTGAATGTTAGCAAATTACCCTCCAGGAAGTTGTATGTGCACTTTTCTCCAATAGCACGTAATAGGGAGATGTTCATCGTTCGTTCCCGAGTATCCAACAGAATATCATGGTTTAAAATCTCGCCCATTAATATACAAAATAATATACCATTGTGATTTCAACTCATATTTCCCCAGAAGTGATGTTAAGATTTACTTGTAAGCATTATCAGGCTTGTGCCTTTTTCATCTGTGAGTTTGTTGTTCATATGCTTCATTTTTCTACTGTGGGCTGGTCTTTATTAATGAGTACTATGAGTTCTCTTTGTATTAGAGAGAGTAATACTTTACCTTATGTGCCACAAGTATCTTTGTTTTTTATAAATTTGCTTTTAGTTTCCATTGCTTTTTTTTTGGTGGTGCTGGAGATTGTACCAAAGTCTTTGCACTGAATGACCCCCACTGCTTTTTATTTTGAGATGGTCTAAGTTGCTGAATTGCTAAGGCTGGGCTTGAACTTGTGGTCCTCTTGCCTCAGCCTCCTCAAGTACAAGGATGACAGACGTTTGCTGTACTTGGCTTCTGTTGAGTTTTAAAAATGCACTTATGCATTCTTTATCTTCGTATTTCAAATGAAATAACTATATTGACTTGACTTCTAACCACCTGTTTTTTCCTTCTACCACATACAGTTTGCTACTAAGTAAAACACATGTGGTCAGAACTTCAGATACTGTGTTTGTGTGTATTTTTAGTGCACATTATTTACAGGTTGTTAGATGCATGGGTTTCATTTTGGTAGATTTGGACATGCATCTGATATACTTTGATCATTTTCACCCACCTGCCACCTTCCCTCTTCCCTCCTGCCTGTCTCCTTTCTCTATAATTACTTATTTTTGCATTAGTCAGCTCTTCTGTTGCTTGGGCAGAATACCTGGAATAAATAATTTAGAGGGCTAAAGTTTAACTTGACTTAT